AAAGCCAGTCAGTAAGCCGGAGGAAACGACACCCCATGACGTGGTGCATTCAATCCAGCAGCAAAAAAAAATGTTACACTTTGTTTTGATATATCGGAACAACATTCATCTTACATACACTTACATACAGATCAACTCTCTGCCAATGAACGTTCGTTTGCTTTCGTCGTCCACACGTCTCTGTACTAATTATAGGAATGTTCTGAGGTCAATCCGTGGAGCTTATTGTGCACCTTCATCGCCGTAATGCACGTCATCAACCCGTCCTGAAGTTAAGATCGGTATGTACGGTACCTAAGGGAGTACAGCATTCGTGGAGCAGGCCTTGTCCCTCCCTATGGTTTGTCGGCTTCTTTAATTTCGTTGGCCACTATTTCTAGATGCATTGGGATACAGATGCAGATCCAGAGATCAATCAACTGATACGCCACAGTCGTAGAGTCGAGCGGCTGCCTCATGCATGACGGGCGGATGCTAACCTGAGACCACCCTTCATGACTCGACGTCTATTAGGGTTTGATGTTACCGCAGCCCTTCCCGCTTCATAGCATCTTCTCCCAATCAGGCATCACAGTGAACTTGCCGCTGAGCTGTCCCATAGCCCATACTCTGTTTTCCTCTTCCGGAACTCCCCCTTCAGCTGGATCGGCTGCCCCCGATACGATCAGTGCTTCTTGGAGGAAGTCAACGGCAGTGGCTCGATCCAGTTCAAAGCTGATACCGCCCCAGTCCATCGTCATTCGTCCGGATGCATGGACATTCAGCTTGCCTACGCGTCCGGCCCTGAGCTGCCAATCCGTAGCGGTGACCACCTTAGAAGGCTCCGTGGGCTGGAAATCATCCGCTTCATCGAGAATCTCCACCCCGTCTTCGCGTTTGACTCCCGTTTTCTGTGGCGCAATACCATTGCTACTAGCGGTGCCATCGGGGGCACCCTGACCTGGAGCTTCTATAGACGCCGCAGCGGAATTATCGCCACTATTTTCTGGCACCAGATTGGGTGTCATGGGTGGGAATTGCATCAAGAATAGTTGACCGGACAGTTTGTCCTTAGCCGACTCATCTTCTTCCTCTTCCGATTCTTTTTCCTTCTCTTTGTCCTTCTCCGCGCCGTCCGCCGCCGCCGTCTCAGTGTCTTCCGCCGAAGACTCAACCTCAACTGGTTCGGGTTGTGGCTCTTTCGGCTCTTCTTCCTTCGTAAACAGATCCTTTACCATCGCAAGGTCTTGCTCATGTCTCTCGTACTCTTCTATATCTTCCTTAGTGCGTAGTAAACTCTTGGGATCCTTGACGGCGGGTGGCTCCCGAGAGATCTTCCGGCGGACCTTCACCTTTTGCTCCGGTAGTAAGCCATCATCGGTGGTCAGCCCTTCATCCGCATGGGGAGCGACATCCGTCATAGCATGGTCATCATCCGTAGGCTCTTGTTTCACCCGGGGCCCAGTCTCGGTCTCCGTAGCCGAACCAGACGAACCATCATCATCTGGCACGAATAGAGCACCATCATCTGCAGCCTTTGCCTGCGCTTGTTGGCGAAGCTCGGCAGATTTACTCGAGCTAGACTCCATATTAACACTGACCACCCGTTCCTCATGCTCATGCCTCTCCACACGAATGGGCCGTAGACCCCTCTCCCCGGAAGCCTCCGCATTCTTCACCGCAAGCTTTCCCTTCTTCTTATCGACCACCTGCTCCGCCTCCTCATCATCACTATCCAGATTGATATGATCAATGCTAACCCGAATCTCATTGTCACTCTCATCGGACGACACGTCCCGACTAACCGCCCCACTCCCAATATCAATAACCGACCGACTCCGCCTCGACATAGATGACGCCCTGGAATCGTTGAACCTCGATCCAAACCCACCCGGACCACCACCCCGACCCCGCCGGCCTTGCATAGACCCTAAAGGCCCACTAGCAGCCCCAAATTGTCCCCCACGACCTCGTCCAAACCCGCCTCGACCACCAGGTCCATGATTTCCCCGTCCGCGCTGGATGGCTGCCGCCTCCGCCAATCTCTCCCGGTGCCGTTCTGCCTCGAGTTTCTCAATCGCCTCTCGCTCCTCTTTACTGCGACGGCCCACTGCACGCGGTTTATACTTCAACGTAGGCTTAGCCGGCTCGCCAGGTCCGCCCGGGGCTGGCGGTTTCGCGGCCGGCCCGATGCTGCCAGACGGGGTACGTTTCTTCAACGATTGCAGTCGCTGAACAGGCGGTCTGCTGGCCGAAGGTCCGGTGCTGGCGTTCTCTCCCGGCGCAGGTGTTGCGGAGTTTGAGCTAGGTTCTGAGGCATTCGTTCGTCTGTTTGCCGCTGCGGCGGATGCGCCTCGGCGGGGAGCAGCTTTGGGGGGCATGGTATGTGGCTGGTTGTGTGCTCAGAGTTTGTGTAAACTTTTAGGCGCAGAGAAGAAGGAGGCAGATAGAGGGTTCGATAGTTTAAAAGGTCATTGACTTGAAAATTTCGTAGCGACGGGTCGTTAACTAGCGCTGTGAGGTGGAAGTTGATAGTGTATGAATAGAATTTGAGATAAAAGAACAGAAACAAAATATTAAAAAAAAAAAAAGAAAAGGAAAGAGCGTTCAGACTGAAGGTGTGCGGGAGCCTTCCCTAGACAAGTGAATATGTACTCCGTAGATATTCACTTCGAGGATGAATAACGGGCAGGCCGTAGGCTTGGCAGAAAAAAAATTAAGCGCGCGGCTAGACCGGTGCGGGGCAGGCTGAAAAAGCAAATCGCTAAGCCATATCCGGTAATAACGATCTCTGTTCACTCAAAACGGTGCGGGCTGGAAATGGTCGATCATGACAAGGTACAACTTCAGTACTACTACTATATATTGATTTCCAATGTACTCTAATAAAAAGTTTACTGCTTATTTAATGAATAAACTGTAAAAGCTGTATCATATAACCAACCAGTTTAATTGTTCTAAGCTGAAAACTACTTAAGTATTGGCTCCGAAATCCTAGATAAATGATTACTTTGCTATTTACGCTGATTCTACTCCGTACTCCGTACTGATCTTGGAAATGCCTGGCCTATTGTGGGATGACTGTGTAAAAAGGTGGTTATTCCTAAGCTAACGTTTTTGCGGGAACTAGAAATAGGAATAAATCACATGACACCTAGCTCGAGTATCTGTGTAGAATAACCCTGTATAGGGGTCTCTATAGCAGGAACTTGACAAGGTGCCACTGTCTACCTAGGCGGCTGTCCTGTGCCCGGATTAAGTCGACACAGACTGCACAACCCATCTTGGCAAATCGGAGACAAGTCGGAATAAGGATCAACTATATGACTGTATTGCGGCAACATATATGGCCTTTGATATTGAGAATGCGGACAACTTCAGTTGTTAGAACCAAGCTCCGATCAGATAAAGGGACTTATATTAGAATATGGTGCAAGTAGTATCAACCTTAGTACTAGTAGTAGTACCCAGCCTACCTAGCCCAGCCACAGAAATAGAAAGCGGTAGTACCCGCCGGGAATGGCAGAACTAAAGTCACGTGTTGTGTAGATAGAGTGACCAATCAGAACCCACATCCTCAGATCCCGTGGGAAGGAGTAACTGCAGTGAATAGCCTATATAATAATAATATTGTCTAACCAGTTATCTTTGGAAGAAGTATCCGCAGTGACTACGGAGTACGATCAGGTGCCAGAGACGGCTTGTCGATGACAGGGGATAACTACTAGTAATCGGGAAGAAAGAGAAAAGGAGCTATGAAAGGGAACGGAATCCATTCATTTATGAATAGTAATAAATAAAGCATAGGATCGAACAGATGATTAGCAGACAATATTTCATTCTTTTGAATCCAATATACAGAAGGATCCCAAAGTGGGTATATCAATACTCATCTGGCAGTTGCTGGATCGTGCTTTCCTTGCCCCAGGGTTGCGCCCTAACGCTTGCGTTTCTTGTTCTTGTCAATGGCAGCAGATGACGAACCAGCCACAGCCACAAGGGGCTGTGTATCACCATTGACTGGGCTAGCTTCAATGGCTTTCTTCACAGGAACTCCCATGTGACGACCGTAGCGGCCTTTGCGACCATTCCCCTCGTCTTCACTGATACAGCCTTCGATGCCAATACCAGCATCCTTGCATCGCCCGCAGGGACGTTGACGATCGCAGCCCTTCTTACTTTTACGGCAGCGTTGGCAGCGCGGTTTGGTTGACAGGTCTTCTTCGTCTGCAGCCAACTGGTGCTGGAAATTGACCGAGGACGTTGAGGTCTTTCGTGTAGGGGCAGGGCTAACCATCTGCGGGGGCACGACGGGCTTTTGACTGTTCGCAGCGGGCATTGACTTCACCTTACGAGCAGCAGCGGGTGCACCCTTGTTGATTTTATGCTGCCGCATAGGTGCTGACTTGGTTCCTCGAGCCTTGCTAGAAGTGGTACTATTTGCTCGTGTCTTAGCCTTCTTCGGCTTGGGGGCAGACTCTCTATAAAGAGAATCATCATCGGCCTCATTTTTGATCAAGCTGTCCTGATAATCATCCTGCTGGTACTCCTCATCGCCATCACTTCCATCAGAGCTGTCGAAACTGGGGAGAATGTCATCCAAGCGCTTGTGTGTGCACTTAGTAGCGCCCGGCGGAAGCATCGGGCTCGAGTCCACCCTTTGTCTACTCCGTGCCGGCAAGTCGTCATCTTCTTCGCTGAAATCTTCGCCATCGCTGGTCGCCCCCGTCGATGAGGCCGCATCGGCAGCGCCACTGAAGGCATCATCAAGGGTTGAGGCGGATGTGCGACCATGGGAGAAATTTGAAGCGTCGCCTAAGCGAATTAATTGCATTGCAACATCCTCGTCAGATATGCAGCTGGCAATAGTAGGGTCTGGGGTTGGGAGAATGCCAGACCCGGCACCATTGCCTGCTGGGTTGCTGAACTGCCTGATGACTGGGTTGCGGTCCGCTCACGTAAGCGGTGCCCATGTTCCGGAACCACTGGAGTGGCATAGATGTTATTCCGCATAGAGTTATACCCGTATATTTGATCGTTATGTCCGTAGCTTTGAGGTGAGGGTAATGGTTGTTGATAACTGTACGGGCGTTGAGTGGGGCGTGCGAATGGGGAGACAGCACCTTCTTGGCCAATAGATCGACGTTGAGGGGAGATCGACGAGGTAGAGGTAGTGAGAGGGACCTGAGGAGGAACGAATAATGGCAGTTCCTTCAACGCAAAGGAAGTAACAAGGTTAGCACAATGTTTATCGGTTGACGAGAGGTCAACCGGGACAAACTAACCGAACTCTCAAACTTAGGCCGCTTGCGGCGGCCATCTTGGAGGATATTGTCCATGCTGATATCTGAGCTGCCCAGCTGTTCACTACGGGACTTCTTACCCCCTGAGACAGATCCATATCCGCCCTCACTGTCACTGTAGAGAGAAGCTCCATCGTCATGGAAGCTACCATGTGTGCTGGAGCCCCTGCTCTTGTTTCCCGCTCGGGAGAGCTGCTTGTGCTGCGAAGCGCTACGACGGCTTCTTCCAGACGGTGACACACTGCGCTTCCGAGCGAGTCTAGAAGCGGGCCGAGAAGGGGGCTGTCCGTGGTCTGGGATCTGCGCCGACTGCATTGCAGACGCCATCTGGAAAGGCTCGCCAAGACTGGGGCGTTTACGAACCTCAACTGGCATATGCCCAAAATAACGGTCGCCGTAGCCTTCTGTGTATGCTTGGACGGGGATTACCCGCACATACACCGTCATGTTATTTCTTAAGTTCTCATACCTAGCAATAAGTGTGGTGCCGTGCTCATCCTCAAAACTGACACCGCTCGCAGCGCCATCATAGATCCCATAGAAATTCTTGACTGTAGTCACAATCGAGTCTGTGGTGTCATGGGGATATATTTGTACTCGCATGGGGATACGAGCCCGAACCTTGGAGTTCTCATCGAGCAAGAGCTCGAAGGCAACGTTCTTAGGAATAGGGCTCTTGCGGGGGGACTCCTGGGGCGCATGATCTGTCCAGATGGGCGACTCGCCAGGAGCAGGGTGTCGTTCGTACTGGACAGCCTGCATGATAGGATAGTCCAGGAGGAGAGGCTACCACAATTCTGCTACATCAATGATTCGATTAATCGAATATTCGAATAGGGTGCGAGAGTGGATCCGGCGGCGAGGGTGGGGAAGAGGCAAGACGCAGAGAGAGCGGCCAGGAGGGAGGGAGGGAGGGTATGGGCAAAATCCATCCAAACCTACCACAAGAAGGAGACCAGAGAGGGTTGGTTGATAGATGGATCACCCGCGATTAATCTACGAGAGTGATGGATGGGGGAGGGTTGTGTATGGGATGAGGGCACCCCAAGTCGCAACAGCCGAGAGCGACTGACGAGGGAAGAAAAAAGCGTTGAAAACCTAGGCGACAACCACCACCATAAATTAGTACAGTATTCTATTAAATGGTTCCAATGAATCCGAAGAGGCCCTAAGAGGATCGTAGGATGGACATGAGATGCCCGGACCTTCCCCGTTGAGTCCTGATGGCTTGTAGAACTGAGGTTCTGCAAAGACCTGAATCACCCGGAAGAAGATGGAGAGGATCAAAGACTCACCTATCGCAGATCCAACCGTTTCGTCTAGTGTCGCACTCGTAGTATCAATCCGAAACAAAAGGGAGGGGGATTGGCGATGTCGATGGTCGGGGTCGCAGTGGTGGTGAGGGTGAGGGTGTGTGTGTGTGAGTCGTCTACGAAGCGCTTGGGCTATGTCAGCGGTGGCATCACAGCAGTCGATCACAACCCAACGGAATTTCAGGGGAGATCGGTTGCAAGAAATTCTCACAAAAGGAAGTAGGCAATTTAGAGATAGGGAGAAAAACTAACCGAGACTATTTGGATAGAAAATGAAGGGAAGCCGGAGGGGATTTTGGGAAAGGAAGAATGGGTTGGGTCGACGAGAGCAGGTTGAGGAGAGGGAAGAGGAGAAGAGTGAGTGGGTGCAGATCACTGAATGGGTTTCACCTCACAAGTCACTCGTCTGGAGTCGGTGACAAGAAGTAATAATACTCCAACCATGACCTTACCATCTCCCAATACAGAACCGAACCCCCCTTTACAACCATGAATTAGAGTCTATAATCCATTTATACACGCTCGCTTTCTCCCCCAAGTTGATTTGGTGGATTTGTCCTCCTCCTATTCATTTGTCGCATTTGCGCTTCCTCTGTCGCATTTACCGAAACCAATCGCATTTGTTACCAAGGCTAATATCAAACTCTCCCCCGGCCACAATGAGGTCAAGACCGGCCAATTTACATGATTTTGAGTCGCTAGCGGTCTAGGTCAATTTGTACCTGGTTAATGTTCCTCTACGATTTCGTGACTACCACGTTTGATGGGTTGTGTCGCTTGTCACGAGCTGTTCCAATGCGACCAGCTCATGGCGATTGTACGCCTCGACCGACCTTTCGCGCAGAGGCAAGGAAAAGCAAAAATAAGGCAGAAATGCAAAACCAGGACGACGAACCTACAATGTCATTTTTTTTGCCTGGTACTTTTTTCCATTGTGTCGTTTGTCCTTGTGGTGGATTTACATCCCATATCTCTCCTTTTCCCCAACCATTCCGGTCGGACCAAAAAGACAAAACAGACGTACAGGAAGTGGCGTAATTTGGCACATCCTCAGCGCGGCCACGTCGAGTGACCCCCAGATCACATCCCAGCCAACTATTGAGGAGAACGAGGGTCCATTCCGTCATAATCCTCCCCTACTGGCCATCAAAAAAGACCCGACTCAAACAGCTCCCGGCTGGATAGGATTCAAGCGACAGCTACAGCTTCATAAATATGAACTCTAGATTGTTATTTCTGGCAGAACTAGAGCCGGCGACCAAGATAGATTGATATCATTTGAGTCGGTCGCACGCTTTCTGGAGAAACTACAACTTAATTCCGTCCCATTCCATCCAACGGCGGAAATAAACGTTGGCGCTTCGGCCAACAAATTGCTAGTGGATGGGTGAGTCTTATAGGATGGAGCAAAGGAAAGAAGGGTCGCATTCTTTCTACAAATTGTCGCATGCGACAAAGACACAGCGGCCAAGTGGGCGACAGCGCCCAATTGTTGCCTCGTTTCATGATCTGCGCCTGTCCAGACTGAGTCGTAGTCGTCGTCGTTCTTTTACCCCTCCCTCCTCGGGAACGGTGGACTGCGTTAGTTCGATGCCTCCTCCGTTAGGATGGATCCCCGTTCGCCTGTTGGGCGCAGATGACAAACGGTCATCGGCGGGGATCGCAAGCTGGAGCTTTCATGACTACGATTTCTGCTACTTTATTACATACGCAGGTACTGCGACATCATCTTGTCAAGGTCCCCATGTCCACACCCCAAAGGTTGGGCGTCCAAAAACACCGGTATATACCCAGTCGGTTATGTATTTGTCGCATTGGGAAAAGAAAACGAAAAACGACGAGAACAAAGATGTAGAGAGATAACCCTTGCGCAAAGGTAACCAAACAACAGGGCAGCTGGCGCAAAGATGCCGTTGGCGCAGGATTAATTGGACGAGTCCGTTTGAATGACCCGACGGAGGACAGACTCTATACATAAGTGGTATCGGCCTCTCAGATCACATTGTCACCGTATGTATTGTATGGACATACATATCCCTACGTCCGGTAATCCACTAGGACTAGGTCACAATTATCAATTAAGATGGAAAAAAAGAGAGGCGAAGGGAAGAATAGGATTTGACACGAAACCCGTGCAGTTATTGGGAATCTAAAGCGGGGCCAATTTGCCAGCCCATCATTAGATTTAAATAGCACTATTGACCCAAGCCGGTGGCTGTTGTCAGCGTATGGATGCACACCGAAAGTTTGGGTAATTCAATGACCACTTGGCACCGTTCCCACAGTTTTACCGACTGTGCATGAAGATTGAAAAAGTCGAATAAACCAAAGTAGGAAGCGAAGGTGCATTGATATAAGACAGTCGATTGCCCTCAACCGAAAGAACGCAAGGATGTGTGCGGACTCACCTGATTCCTTCTTGATTGTTCTGTCGCTCCGCTCAGTGGGCTATTGTGGATGTTTATGTTGAAGACAAGACAAAGCTACGAATCCCGCGGCTTCATGATAGGTACCGCCGGATCCGCGTCCCACATTGGAGGCCAGTGGTGGCTTTTTTTTTCGGCGATACGGGTGCGAACGGGGAATCGAAGAACCCAGTCGGCTTGGTGGCCAAACGCAAAGAAGAGGAGTCTCAATCTTTGAACGTCGTAACCATTAGAACTAACCATTATTGATTGTCTATCTTCGATAAAAGACCGGTTCCTTCCGGTGGAGATTCATCACGGTTGCGAAATTGCTCAGATCTTGCGATTCTAGGCAAAGCCGAGTGACTACGAAGAAGTCACTTATGAGATTGACTACCGATAGCCTAGAGAGAAGACTGACGAATATCAAAAGCGCTGTCCTCCGTAGGTAGACCAGTCTATTCCTCCCACTGACTACCAAAAGCGTCGAACGCCCTGCCAAAACGGTGGATGATGGCGGGTCCAATGGGTCACGTGGGCTCGCGTTTAATAGGATTCGAATTCGTGTGCCCGGGCGCGTCCAAAGTGCGGTGAAGCGATATCGCCTATCTCAAGCCATTTGAGGCCCTTTTTGTTAGAACAATCTATGAAATGGAGTCGCATGGATCTGTAACATATGCCAGTCATTTTTCAGACCTTTGCGCATGAGGTTTGGAGTCACTTTGGCTGTCGATGCAAATGCAAGTGTCGATGGGAAGACGCGATCAGTGATGTCATGGAGTCCGGGGCGACACAAACCATGCAAACATGACGATGACATAAGCATACCACAACAACCCTGGAAACGGAATAGTGTGATTGTTGTTGACGGTAACCAAGTAAGGTAGTAACCGCTTCCAGCTGAGTGGATGGGGTTTCCCGCCGTTCCCTAGAGACGATGCTATTGTTTGTTCGTCGCTTTCATTCCTTTCGGGTAGCAACACGAGTTCCTTCTCCTCTCTTATGCGACAATTTTAGATGTTGCGGTGGGAATTCTTCATTTTCATATTTTTTTTTTGAGGCGCGGCAGATTTGAGATCTCTTGACCAACCTTTTCCCTTGTCGGTACTGTCGCAACTGCTTTAGCGCGGTTGGTTGTTTGTTTAGGGTGGTTTTAGTATAACTTTAGCTGCTGCTCCTTCAACCCCTTCGCAGCGGATAGGTAAACAACCATCCGAGTGTCTCCCCAAAACATCAACATCCACAATTTGGTGAAGGCTTCAAAGTCTTCTTGTCACCCAAAATGGATGCAAAGGTGTGTTTCTCCTGCGTTTCTTTCTTCGCTTGTAGTCATCATCCATCAAGCTTGTTGGGGGATCCCTCTCTGCGTCCATGTTTACGAACCTTGACGCGCTTGGTGTTTTCCTTCCTGTGTCCACATTTTGGCGTCGCATACAAGTTCATGATTGTATACTAACATGCAATTGATTGTAGCCTCAGCGAATTCGCGTCCGTGGGGATGAGAATGCTGCCTTTTCTCTCACTAGCAAAACGGTTCATCAGAAAAACAAATCAACTCCCGCCCTGTCCACGATGTTCCAGAATGGTGTGACGAAGAATGGACCAAGAAGAGCTGCTTTTGGAGACGTCAGCAATACCACGAAAACCGTCCAAGGCATTCGGGATGATATCTCTGTTGCAGCCAAGAAACAGACCAAGCCATTGGAGAAGTCTTCCGTGCAGGTCACGGAAAGGAAATCTTCTGTCTTGGCCCAGCCTGCCCAGCGCCCAGTATCGGTGGCGGGAGTTAAGGGCCTATTAAGCAATGTGACGAATTCCAAAGCCCTGGAGCCCGTCGGAAGGTCGATCAGCGTGCCGCAGCATACCGCCAACGCCCGCAAGGCCTTGAACAAGCGAGGAACGGTCTTTAAGGACCACGTGGAACCATTGACGGAAAAACGCGAACTTACATCCAAGGAAACAACTCAAACTAAGGAAGGGATTACTGGGGGCCAAATCGCGCATTCGTCTACGGCGCCTTCGCAGCTCAACAGCTTGACGGAAAAGGACGTGGTCAACGAAGGATCAAATGATGAGTCGGAGAATCATGGTGAACAGTCCATTGTCAACTCTGAAGTTGATGGAGAGGAGAAGGACGCACCCAAGCTCGACGAGGATATTTGTAAGGTTCAGGGTATCAAGGAACTCAAGGAAGCCTCTGAACCCTGTACGGCACCCGAGGCCGACAGCGCAAACCGAGTTGTGAAGCCACAACGTGTATCTGCTCCTGGCACACACCTGCCTCATGAACATGTGCCCGCTCACTCGGAGCCGGAAGAGTCCTGGGATGACGAGGACGATGAAAATGAAGAGGAGGATGAGTATATCACTGCTCGCTCCTATCGATCCCGTGGCGAAAACACGACTGGCGCGACTACTACATTACTCTTCCCGAAATATACGCAGCAAGTGAGACGGGAATTGGAATTGGCGAAGCAAATCGTCGAGGCAACACGGACAGTGGAAGATATTGAAGATGAATACTGGGATACGAGCATGGTCGCAGAGTATAGTGAAGATATATTCGAGTATATGCGAGAACAGGAGGTGTGTTATTATTGGATACTGAGAGATGCTCGGGAATGATTGCTAACTGCAGCTAGATCAAAATGCTGCCAAATGCGCACTATATGGACAACCAAGCGGAAATCCAATGGTCAATGCGGTCTGTTCTGATGGAATGGCTTGTGCAGGTCCACCATCGGTTCTCCCTGCTTCCTGAGACCCTTTTCCTGTGTGTCAACTATATCGACCGCTTCCTGTCCTGCAAGATAGTCTCCCTGGGCAAACTGCAACTTGTCGGTGCCACCGCCATCTTCATTGCTGCCAAGTATGAAGAAATAAACTGTCCTTCCGTGCAGGAGATTGTTTATATGGTAGACGGAGGCTACACAGCCGATGAGATCCTCAAAGCGGAGCGTTTCATGCTCACTATGCTGCAGTTCGAACTTGGATGGCCTGGGCCCATGAGCTTCCTGCGGAAGATCAGCAAAGCTGACGACTACGACCTGGAGACCCGGACATTGGCGAAGTACTTCTTGGAGATAACCATCATGGATGAACGCTTCGTTGGATGCCCACCAAGCTTTACAGCTGCTGGCGCTCATTGTCTCGCAAGGATGATGCTGAGAAAAGGAAACTGGGTAAGCTTGCAGAGACCTGTTCGGCGTGTGTGTGCCTCTGCTAACATTGGAACAGACGCCTGCCCATGTCCATTACGCGGGATACACCTATTCACAGCTTTACCCACTGATTTCTCTGATGATGGAATGCTGCGAGATCCCTCGCAAGCACCATGCGGCCATTTACGAAAAATACACTGACAAACGGTTCAAGCGTGCTTCGCTTTTCGTCGAAGCTGAAATGAGGAAAGGGTTCAATCTGCCCGAGATTACTAGGGAAAAGAGCCTTGGTAACCCGCCGTCTCTTGACGTTGGCCATCAATGGAAGCGCGCATAAACGCCGCTCTGCCTTTGGACAATTCTCGCCAGGACGCCCAGAGGCCTGGCATCTTAAAGCACGATTACCTGACATGCTTGAGTATTGATTGATGAACATGAAAAACAAACATAAAAAAGAGGAAACGAAACACAGCCGGGCAAGAAAAACAAGGGGAAACGAGAGCTGTTTTTCCACTACACGCTTATCATGACACTTTCTTTTGTCGCTCGACTTTGTACGCCATGCCTTTCATGCACATTTGGGTTTTAGAACACGGAGACAATGTTTCGACGGACGGGGAATCGGATATCATCAATGGGCGGAGTTTTGCTTTTGTTAATTGAAACGGACGACATGCCAGCCATGCCGTCCAGAACCGGGAGTTCAATGGGGTCGATGGTTTCTCTTATTCCCTTTCTTAATTAATCTGCACCTTTCATATTTCCTTTGTTCATTTCTTCTACTAACCATCCAACCGATTCTCATGAACGAAACGCTTCCCAGGGACTTCATGAAAATGCCCCCAGCATTAATGCCTCTTATTCCCTTTGTTCCTTTTTGGACTTCTGCTCTTCTTTTCTCCATCCTTTTTTATTCTCTGTGGTTATCGTCCAGGCTTAGTACACAGGAACTAGTCAATTGGATCTATCTCTTCAAATGCGTCTCTAAGATTCAGAAATCGTAACTACACAAGCGTGCAACGTGCGTCCAAAACATCAGCAACTTGGAACGCCTACCACGCAACTAAAACGAGGTTTATGATCAGACCCTAGGGTCCGATCCGCCCGGATCGCACCTTATATAGATATATAGATCTAGTAGTCGGCCAGGGGCCCCACGCCGCCGTGACAGTAGTTTTATCTCATCTATATCTTATTCTAAAAAAAGACTTTTCCTTTAATCCTCACCTCACTGGCGTTACCAATGATTTATCCAAGTATAATCACGCCAGTCAAACCACTATTGATCCAACCCATTCAACTCAATCAATCTCTTCACAACCTCAATTACCCGACCCGCAATGTTATCCTTCTCACCACCTCCTCTTTCGACAGACAGAGACCCAGAGGCAGGGTTATCAATCCGCGCCGCAATAATCTCATCCACCATCATACGCAAGCGAGAGACAAGTACACCGATTCTCGCCCACCCGCGGAGCCGTAACCAGCCGTCAACGATCAGGCCCCGGCCCGTCGTATCGAGATCGATGGATCCGCAAAAGAGGAGGAGAGAGTAGGCGTTGAATGCTGTTTGTATCCGATGGATTAGTAACGGTCAATCATATGCAGTGCATGCTTTCGCTAAGTAGATCCCATAGCGGGGGTGAAAACAGAGCAAAAACGAGTGTAGGGAACTCACGAGTTAAATCTCGAATGAAGACCTTGCTTGTCGCCATCTTGGTGAAGTAGCTTAGGTACGCTGCCGAGCCGGGGTAGCTCTGGGCCGAGAACAGGAGAGAGCTGGGATGGATGAAGACGCGACCGTTTTCCTGGTTGAAGTATTTGATCGTTCTTGCGTCTGGGTCGACTTCAACCGTTCCTGTGACGGAGCTCATGAACTTCTTGTCCGGGAAGGAGATCTGCGCGATCTGGGGTTGGAAGGCGCCGGCGATTAGGGCTCGGAGGAGGCTTCGGTTGCCTGCGTTGCGGTTCCAGCGCGGGTCGGCTGGGTCGGAGGAGTAGTCGACGGGGAGGAGGCCGGCATCTTTGAGGGAGGTGAGGAGTTGGGCTTTGTTGGAGGAAATGTCGCGGAGGGTTTGATGAGAGAGGAAATTGGCGCTGCACCATGATTGTGTCTGCCAGTATCCTTGGGCTTTGACGCGCTCTGACCATTGTTGGTAGGCTGTGAGGTCGGTAAGAAGGTCGCCGTCTCCGCGGGAGAAGGATGATTTGGCAGCGTCTGCTTCCTCGCGCTTGTCGCGGGGAGAGACGAAGGGGCTCTTCACTGTTAGAATTGCGGAGATGGTGATGCAGTGGTCTATACAGTTGAAGATGGAACCGTAGACCATGAGTTTGGCGCATCGCAAGTCGGCAGGGATCATCGACAAGTATCGTCCAAGGGCTGTCAATTTGTCATGGTCCAGGGCTCCGACACGATGAAGGAAGCCCAAGGCTCCTTCAACGGCCACGCTTTCAGGGGGAGTGATGGTATTTGCTAGGAAAGTTGCGACGTCGTTGATGCCCTGCATAGACTTGACGGAGAGGCACAGTTGTTCCAATGGTACCCGGCGGATTTCAGGGTCCGGCCGAGGTGCCATCTTATGCTCTGCTTGCCGAGTGTAGAGCTTGTAGCATGCACCAGCCCTAACACGACCAGCACGTCCTCGTCGTTGCTTACACGCCGCTTGTGATGCCCACACTTCTTGTAGACGGACCATGTTGTCTTTAGGATCGTAACTCGTTTCCTTGACGCGGCCAGTGTCGATAACCGCGACAACATCCTCGATTGTGATTGATGTCTCGGCAACATTGGTTGCTGCAATAACCTTTCTCTTTCCCTTCGGGGGACTCAGGAATACACGCCGTTGCTCAACTGGGAGAAGGGATGCATGCAGAGGAAGTGGATGGGCATTGGGAATTCTCTTCACGGCGTTAAGGCACCTTTCAATTTCCAAGGTACCAGGCAAGAAGATGAGAATCCCTCCGGGTCGGTCTCCAAGCTGGGCGTCAATGTATCGGACGATGGACGTGATCAATTCGTAATTGATTCCCATACCCATGTTCCGAAGGATCTTGCCAAGTGACTCTTCGCCCTGAGGAGAATCTTCCTCAAAGTCCCGCTCAGCCAACTCTGGTGAAAATCCCGTATCACGGATGATGTCGTCCAGGTAAAAGTCAGACACAGGAAAAGTCCGCCCAGGAATGTTCACCAGTCCAACATTTTGGCGGCCACCAAAATAGTTGGTGAAGATTTCCGCGTCAAGCGTTGCACTCATCAGTATGACCTTAATATCCTTGCGGTACCGAAGAACATCCCGTAGGAGGGCGAGCAGAAAATCGGTATCAAGACTCCGTTCATGGACTTCATCCACTACGATATGTGTGACATCTGCAAGGGAGCCTGCAACATTTCCATCTGCACCGCTTCCAGACTGTATACGACGAAGCAAAACACCAGTTGTGACAAAAGTGATCTTCGTCGCCCCAGATTTGACCTTGGAGTCACCTCGGATGACATACCCAACCTCATCTCCTACAGAGGTGCATCGCTCATCGCTCACACGATCCGCAAGACCTAAAGCAGAGATCCTACGTGGCTGCGTACAGATAATGTTCGCAATGCCGCCAAGATCCCGCCTGATCATATCATCCAATATGAACTGGACAGACTGAGTACTTTTACCGCTACCTGTCTCACCAGAGATGATAGTAACCTGATGTGAATTCACTGCACGTACGATAGCATCTTGAATGTTCCAAGCAGGAAGTGATTCTCGCTTTCGAGTCATGTCCTGTTGGGCCGGCGTAGCCTGCCTAGCCTGCCAGGCCTCTCGAATAGATATACTCTGAGGCGAGCCTGGTTGCCAGCTAATCACCTTACTCTTCTTGCGAGATTGGCGCATAGGAAGTTCTAAGTTACCTTCAGTAGTAGATGATGTTGCGGTGACCGTTGCAATATCTCGCAACTTGCCTGGGTTTTGCATAATTTCCGGAAGATGCATCTCTAACCAGTCAAGCAAGTTGTATACCATTGGCTCTCCCAAAAAGCTCTCCTCTGCATGTTTCACTGCTTGACGGATCGCGCTAAGCCGTATATAAGAAGGGATTCCTTTCGCTTGTATCGAAATAATCGGCACTGAGGATGGGTAATAATTTGAGGGCCTTTGGAATCGGAATGTAGTTGACCCTGGCAAGTCCGAGGACTCGCTCTTGATCTCACACACCTGGGGCGACGCCTTGACATAACGCTCCCCGAAGATAGCTTCGAGGGTCTCCTGTTCTTCGGCCCAGGAATTATCACCTTCATGAGATATAGAGCCTGCAGAAGAAGTCGTTCCATGCACTAATGTGTTTTGTAGCATTTCAGCAGTTGCAAGCTCATCACCTTGCTTGCTGTCCAGAGCCCGCGAGCAAAGGTCCGCAGAATAGCCAATGGTGGCCAGCCGCTTGATCTTCGCCTCTCTTGTAAGATCATCACTCGCTAGACTCACGCCAGCTGAGTATGACTCTGGTAGACACCAAGATGGAAGATCATCCTCTGGAACATAGATTAGAAGCCATTCAAGCACCTCTTCTCTGTCTTTGCATGCAGAGCTCGCCTCATCTACATGGCTGCGCCGGAAGCCCAAGCGAGTGAACTCCTCGATGATGGAGTTACGCTCGGATTCCGGGATTTTCACGTTATAAGGATTCCAGATCGCATGTTCTTGCAAGAGGCTCTCAATTTCTCTGCGCACTTTACTCCCCAGATCCACCTTCGGAGCGTTCGACCAGATCCTTTTCCCTCTATTATCACCACTTGACCCCAAGCCCAATTCAACCGCCGCTTGATCCTTCGCCTTGGCCTGATTCTTTTCTCGCTCTTTCCGTTTTTTCTCCAAATCGGCCGCGGCACTTTCCCGTTCTTGTTTAGCCAAAAATGGGTCTGCTTCGTACATCCACCCTTTACCTTCTTTGGTATCGGCAGTCTTGATATCAGCAAAATCCTCTTTCCAGAGCTTCTTATAGGTCGGCGGAAGCATCATGTGAATGTTCCTCATGTTGCAGACCCGATACAAAGCGTATGCAGCAGCAAAGTGACGAGCTTCCAGTGCCGTAGATTGCGCAGCCAAGTGCTTGTGTGACGGAGGTGGCTTCATAGGAGGAAGGGTAGTTGCTTCGCGAGTCTTGGAGTCGACACGTTTCAATATAACCGCTGACATATAACCTTCTGGTGTTTTTGTCTAGTATGCGGTATAAACTATTAGCCCAAACCCGAACTAAACTTGCGCCGTGTGGCCACATGTTAGGCTAAGAACATCCATTGCTCACCATTGTATACTCAGGCTTCTCCCACTTCTGCTTCTGACAATGCTCTGAGAGCATATTGACCGGCAGTTTACCGGTCCATGATGCGCCACCGATGACCTGCTTGACAGAGGGTTTCTTCTGCTCATCCGGTGGAGGCTGCGCTTTCTTTGCAGCTTCAGCCGCCGTTTTCTCTGCGGCGGCTTTGGCTTGCTTGGTGCCCGGTTTGGGACCTCCTCCACGGGCGTCAGCTTTCTTCTTAGGACCCATTCTGTCACGGTAATTTGCTATCTTAAAGAAGACGCCCGTGGAGCAATCGCACCTTTCGATAAAGAAAAGAGTGGGTTGAATTGCTGTTAAAGTGGAATTTGGCTGTTCCGCACTAGGGTCGCCATTTTTTGGACCGTAGGGCTGCGGGGAAGTCACCGCGGATCGCCTTCTGGTTCAGCATCGCTCCTCCGGAGTCACTTGCTACTCCGAGCACAACCATGACAACTTAACCACATCTGACGGCCAAATAGGCACTACACCATAATCACAATATATCCACCAACTATGACAGACGATTCACCAAGCCTAGAAGACCAAGGCGCAGCAGCTGCGACCGCCGCGGCAGAATCGAAATCGGGAAAAAGAGATGCTTGTACGTATGCAACCCACCATGCTTGCAATACTTGTCTATTCTAATAAAAAGGCTAAGATGAATAGTTGCCGAGCTCCTCGCCCCTAAACCCAAGCACGCAAAGTACGCAAAGGACGGCCCTTCCAAAGATCCGTCAAACAAGAGAGCCATCGGTGGCCCGCGCGACGGCTTGGGCGCCTATATCGCAAAACCGGAATCTTTCCCTTCCAGTGTCGTTATATATCACAATGAGGACTTTGTCGCGATCCATGATCTTTTCCCAAAATCAACCCTCCATCTACTTCTACTTCCGCGGGATGCTTCCAAAACCCGTCTCCATCCTTTCGAGGCCTTCGAAGATCCGGAGTTTCTGAAAAAAGTGAAGGAAGAGGCAAAGAAACTTCGAGCCTTAGCCGCGGCTGAGCTTAGACGGAGATATGGAAAAGGCTCCGCTCAAGATAAAGAGAGGCAAGAGGCGCTTAGTGCAGATCCTCCTCTGGATGAACTGCCGCCGGGACGAAACTGGGAACAAGAGATCATGTGCGGGATCCATGCGCATCCGTCTATGAATCATCTACATATCCATGTTATCTCGGTGGACAGGTACAGCGACCGACTGAAACACAAGAAACATTACAATAGTTTTTCTACGCCGTTCTTTGTCCCTATCGATGATTTTCCCCTGCCACAAGACGATGTTAGGCGACACCCTGGTAGAGAGGGCTATTTGCGGCGAGATTACACATGCTGGCGTTGTGGGAGGGAATTTGGCAACAGATTTTCCGAGCTGAAGATACATTTAGAGAAGGAATTCGACGAGTGGAAGCGCCTGTAAGCGGGAGAAGCCACAAAGGACGAAATGGCCATGATATCATCAGTTGTACGAATCATCAATAATTCCAAATAGAAGCAGGCACGGATCGACTGTTTCCAATTGACACAGTTGTGTAAAGGACTGAGCTTCTAGAAGCTACAATTACTAATTTCAATTGTGGTAAATATACATGCCCCAATCAGCGATGGCAGTGGCTTGCGATCGATCACATTCTCAGCGATCTTTGATCCCAAGCTTGGTAAACCCCACAAGAATCGGTGTAATAACCATACAAGGTCCAAGAAATAAGACGAGACCCCACTTCCCTCTATATTTCACAAAAGCGCTGCCGCTGACTTCTTTAAGCACGGCTCTTGGATCGGGTGCTACCCTTCACCTTCCGGGCCTCAGGGCGGTTAATGTGGTGAGCGGGGATCCAATCAGCATTGTAGGTAGTCGCCGACGAGACTGCCGGGCTGCTGGGTTCGACGGTTTCGGCCTTCTTCGCAGCACCAGAAGTCTTCTTGGAGTACTCAGCACCCTTTGCGCTCTTGCGCTTCTGAGGGAAGTACGGAGCGACCCAGACAGTGTAGAAGAAGTAGACAACACCGGAGAAGCAGGTCAGGAGGAAGAAATATAGGAAAAGACTAAGATTGATAGTTAACGATTGTTTGCGAACGCGACAAGCAGTCCATCTTACATCTGGGGGTCGAAGAAGCTAGTTTCGGGCTCCACAACACTGACGGTGCCGTTGTAGGCGTAGACGGTGTAGAATCTGCCCTCGTTATCGGAGATGATAGAAGCAAGGCTAAGTCTAAGGTCCTGGGGATGCATCTCGGTGGTAATCTGGTAGCTCAGGGTCTCCGTCTCGCCGGCGGGAATTTCCACACTGTAACCAGTTGCAGTCAAGTTGCGCACGACCGTGCTGTCCTCATCCAGGGTGGACAAGGTGCCACCGATGAAGTTCACCTTCACGGGGGCAGGCTCATCATTAGTGAAAGCGACAAGCGCCTGGGTTGGGTAACCGTTGACAATCTTGACACCGAAGATCTCGGAAGCAGGGAAAGTAGCCTGCGCCGTCAGAGCGAGCTTGGGAGTCTCTACAGTCTCTTCTGCCTTTTCAGCAGCATCCTATGCATGATAACTGATGTGTTAGCGACGCAATTGATATCAGCAGGCGATGGTATGTGAAACAATGGCAACATACTGCCGCGAGACTGCCGCCGATCAAGGCTTGGACAGAGAGCAAAGCCAATGACAGGAAGCTGAAACGAGCCATTCTGATGGGTCCAAGAGTCCAATGTGGAGAAGAAGAGGGAAAAGAGAAAAAGAAACGTCCTGAAAAGAAATGAAGACAAAAAAGAAAGGGAAGGGGGGGGGGAGGCAGGGAAAGGGAGAGTGGGAATGGAAGTACTAGTAGATCGTGGACAAGGACTGAAGTGGTTTCCTCCACGTAGGCGTTTAGTTTGTCTTTTCCTTAGTCAGGCAGGTCACGGCTTCCCCATAAGAAACCGGCGGTTGGATCCGCTGACTCATCTACCCGCTGCATTCTGACTGGTGGTCCTTTTGCCGCTGCCTCAGTTCCTAAGGTTAGCAACAAAAAATAAATCCCCCGAAATTTATGCTGCTGCACTTCCAACTGGACTGTAAAAGACTGGGTGGTGAATGTAAAATCGGGTTGTGAAGGAAGTGTCGCGCGTAAACATTCACTTTTGCTTACCCCTCCTCTATTATTACACGTATAGAAAGCATATATTCTCTCTTCCCTTTCCTCCAGCCTCGTCGACCTTCCCATTCTCCTCCTCTAAACCCCGTCTCCGCAATTAACTTACTTTGACTTTCCCATCTCCACACCCGTACCTAGCTATAATCAACAAAACCCATCATGACTGCCCAAGCTTATCTCGAGCGATATAAACAGTTGACTTCAATAGAAGACATAAAAAATAATCTGATTGAGGTAGCCTCTCCAATCATGGCGCTTATTCCGATTCTCTACCTAATCTTTAACCTTCTTCCTCGACCACTAGGAACTGCTGCAACGTGTGACGGAGCTTGAGGATGCATATCAACAAGAGCGGCTGGATCATGAGCGCGAGACGCGCTTTAATCGGGACATTCAGCTCCATGAAATGGAGTTAATGGATCAGATATCAAGAATTAAAACTATTATGGTGAGAGCTGATAACGATGGAGCGCTGTATCTACCAGTATGCTAACGATGGCGGCGCTTGCTTGCACGGTAGGACCGGGAACCCTTCATAGTCGTGCTTCTCGATGGTGGTGGAATCATCTTTAAGGACGAATATTTGCAACAAGGAGAACAAGGTGGACAGAATGCGGCGAAGAAGCTCCATTCGGCCTTACAGGACTACGTCTCCGGCAATTTCCCGACTATCAACTCTCCGAAGGTAATCACAAAGATGTATGTCAATGTGAAGGGGTTAAGCGACCTCTGCGTCCGTGGCGGCGTCACGACCGAGCCTTCCTTGATCGAAGATTTTGTCCGGGGCTTCAATGCTAGTTATCCTCTCTTTGATTTAGTCGATATCGGGGCTGGGAAAGAGAGCGCTCATGATAAAATCGGAGGTATGTCAAATGAGATTCTATTATCTGTCTGGTTGGTAGATACTGATTGTTGCTCTCCCCGCTTTTCTAGAGGCTTTCAGACTAAATTTATACAACTGCCATTGCCACCAGATATTCCTGGGCTGCTCGCAGGACAGTGCTTATGCTCAAATTTTGGAAGACACACTGGCCGATGGAGACCTCATAGGCCGAGTTTCTCTGATTGAGGGCCTCCCATTTGCAAGCGACCTGGACTTAATAAAAGCATCGTACAGAGTCACTAAGATCTCGGATCTTTTCCGAGATACGAAGATATCTGTATGGGCGCCTTGGAAAGCTGCGGTGGCTAGCAAACCTCGCGCTCTCCTCACTCCGTCGCCCGTCCAGCATGTAACTCTCTCTCGAACGTCGACCAATACCACGACAACCAGTAACAGCGTACCCATATATACCTCATCCACAAATACACCTAACTCCGAGGAGTTTCAGGTTGTGCGATCGAAATCATCCATCCCACCACCCCCCAAAATCGTGGAACGAAACAAGTACGGCCAGCGTGTAGACCGTCTTGACTTTAAGACCATCCCTCGGGATGAGGTAAACCGCATTAAAAAACTGAAATTGTGCAATTTTTACTATTTACAAGGCGAATGCCTAATGACAACTGCCATCACGATCATTCGCGGAAATTGACCAAGACCGAATATATGATTTTGACAGCCATCGCCCGTATGACTCCGTGTCGCTATGGGCTAGAGTGCGATGATCCTGAGTGTATGTATGGACATCGTTGCCCTCAGAGTGAACCCGGTAAGAAAGATTGTTATTGGGGTTCAAGTTGTCGATTCGACATTTCGGCGCACGGAATCGACACCAACATCGTCAAAGTGACTAAAGTCTAGTACCTTCACGCCTAAATCGAGCTGTGGAATTGTAAACCACAATTCGGGCTCACCACCGCTTAGCGCCAGCAATGATCATCATTAACACTCTCCTTCTCATACTCGTTATTACTACGGAAGTTCTTCGCTTAGGTTTCGGCGTTCTATTCTGATGAGTCTCCCTGCATCTAAGCCTGTTTCTGCTCTATAAAGGATGATTTTTGGGGTTGATATATATACACGCACCTTTTCGCCGCTCGAGCTGAGCGGGCTGTATTTACTCGTAAATGAGGTTTACTGCGTCATGCAGTTACACGAGAGAAGATAGTATATCTTCTGATAGATTTGAGTTGTTTTTGCAAAACTTCATCAGACTAAATAGATCTACAGTGGAACTTATCATGGCAAGAGCCTTGATAATATCCAATTTGAAACCAGCGCAAAGGGGTATAGATATACACAAATGCCGACTCATAAATCAATAGTTGTTTGAAACATACCAAATCGCCTTTCCCAACCGAAGCAATCCTCGCGACTACACCCAGACGTATTGTCAGACATTGCATCTGCGTCCGAGAGATGGGAACACTTGACACCATACTCCTGTATACAACATACGAATGGTCTTGAGGAGGCACGGTCCAACTTTGGAGGGCCTTGACCACTTTCTTCAGCATTTGTCTTCTTCCGTTCCTCAAGATCACCCCAAAGAATGAAAAGCCGCTCCCGTAGAATCGCCAGCTGCTCGGAGTCTTTGCGCAAGCTGGTTGGAGATGACAAAATCAGCGAAGGGCACTAGGCCGGAGGGGGAAAAGGAAAAGGAGAAAAAGAGGAAGAGGAAGAAGAAGAAAGAAAGGAGGGAGAGGAAGGCAGAGGACTTACTCGGTTGCACTCATTTTCAACAAAAACTCTGCGTTGGCATCAGACACAAAAAGTTTTATCTGTTCTTTTGGCTGCCCAGGAGGAGGGGGTAATGCGTCCTCAATGAGGAGACAAAAACGCCACTCCCATCGAGTGATACCATCGTCTTCTGCGTTTCGGTACATGCTACTGCCCGAGTGATTCTCCTTAGGCTGCTGACGGACTGCAAAATCTTTTATATCTGGAGGGAAGAAGTCGACAACACGAACAGTAGTTTTATAACACAGGTTCTGAAATGGAAGACGATACTCGACACCGTCATGGGACTCAAACTCATGGAATTCACTTGTAACGATATCTTCGATCCTCCGTCCACGAACGCCTTCATAACTAGCTTTTACTGCAATCGTGGGTCAATCAGTTGCCTATCCATCAACCCTAGTGCGGAAGCCTTACCATGTTCATTAGGTTTGTTGCGTTCTTTCAATTGTCGAGTTGCTTCGCTTTCTTCTCTCATGCCCCCCAATCTTTTCTTATTGCGGGCTTTTAGACCATCTGTTGGCTTAGCATCTTCTTCAGCCTTCCGCTTTCCAGTGTTGATTCCTCTGTAGTAATCCTTCTTCCGACGTAGAAGCTCTTTAGCATGATCATTCTTTTCAGGATCCACTAAGTGCACGTTATTGTAACGCGCGTTGTGCATGCTAGCTTCGAGCGTTAGGTTGTGACGATTTGCCTTGATGTGAACATATTTCAAACTGATAATATCATCCTCTTTAACATATTCTCGGGCAAAGCTCGCATGTGGCTCCCATAATGTTACGGGTAGGGACATTTGGCCGGGTGGACCAGTCCACTTCTTCCTGCTCCGATAGAACGAATCACCATCGAGGTCATCATCTATAGATGTATGATCCTGCAGCTTCTTATTTGTTGTATAGTCGCTCAAGTACAAGAGTGCTTTCTCGCTGTTCTGTGGGTACAGCTTGACTACTTCACCGATCAGGTCCACAAGTGTACCCTCTCGGATATCCTTTATAGCGGTAAGCTTCCTTTGCGTCCGGGCATCCTGCGTCGAGCTTGAAGCTTGGGAGGTAAAGGACTGGGGAGCTGTCACTTGTGGAGCAGAAGCATTTCGGAACTCTGAGAGCCCAGTGATACTTTCCAGTAGACTCTGACATCGTCTCTTCTCCGTATAGGACGGCTCAAAGGGAGTCGGACCGGAAATAGGTGCATTAGTACATAATGGGTCCGGGTCAAAGCGGAAGATAGCCCATGGTACGTTCGCTCTGTCCCCTGCAATCCCGAGTGGCTTACCGTTATAATTTCTAATCTGTGTTTAATCTGTCAGCGTAGGCCAGATTATCAAAGATTGGGCAACACACCCAGAGGTTCCGCAGTAGGACTACATCACCCTCTTGCACAGGAGGCAGATGAGACTCGTTATCTTTAAAATACTTGACTTTCAGTCCATCCCACACATGGCCATTCTTCAAATTATCAGACTTCAAAGTGAAGGTTATACAAAGCGAGTTCGACGTCTTGAACACGCCTTGGAAAACATCGACAACTACCCCAATTACAGTTACGTTCCCCTGTGATCGAAGAGCAGCGGGTATGTCAATCACGGTAGAAGACGACGAATTGTTCGCCATGTCAAAACTTATGTTATAGTTGAGCGTGATAAGCTCATGGTCCTTTAAAACGGGTCTGTAGCTATATCCAATTGCCCTTGTAGCTGGGTAAGACGTAAATCCCCTATAACGAAGGCACGATATGCGATAATGTCAAACGTATGGAAGTCAGGGGATCAATACCAAAGAGCTGTAGACAGCGACACAACGCGTCTCACCAGTTGCTCAGCGCTAACTTCGCTTAGGCGGGTGTGGCGCTTACGAGCGGGCGTGGCCGAAAACAGCAAATCAGAGGCCTATCCCGTGACTGAACAATCCCACCTCCGGCCAAAGCAAGCATCAACACTTTTTTCCCCTCCTTCGTCTTTTGCCCGCATATTTCCCCCCAGTGAGGCTTCTAGTCTTCTTATCTTATTGACGCTTGCTCATCAACTTGTGGGCTGCTATCATTTGATTAATTTTCTTCGACTTTTCTTCTTTCTAAATTTTTCTTTCATCTAGAACCTCAGTGGTTCGTGCGCTTTGTTTTCACCCCTCAGTGTCCTAAGCAACCATGGCCGAGCGCTACATCCCAGAGCATCGTCGCACCCAGTTCAAGGCTAGGAATCAGTTCCGGCCTGACGAGCTTCGTCGTCGTCGTGAGGAGCAGCAAGTCGAAATTCGCAAGCAGAAAAGAGAAGAGAATTTGGCCAAGAGGAGAGGTATCCAGACCCGCGATGGCGGGATTGGTGTGGGAGACGGTATGGCCGCTGCAGCCGAGAGTGATGATGAAGCCACTGCCATAGAAAGCGAGGTATGCTCTATCTGAGGTTTTATTATTCATTTCTATTCGCATTACTCTAGATAGCTGTCAATTTGTTCTCGCCCAAACTGTTGTGTTTTTTTATTTTTTTTTATTTTTTTTATTTCCCTTATGCGCCTAGCGACGAGGTTTTCACCGCCCTATTGCTGGTCGTGAGCTTGAGGATGGAGCACACGACCACCTTTCACTCATCAACCCAGTTGGTCTTTGTGCTTCTAGAAATCAAATGGCTAATGAAATATTTTTAAGCTCAATGTGGAACTACCGGAGATGGTTAAGGGTGTCTTCTCAGATCAGATCGAGTCACAGATTCAGGCCACAACTAAGTTCAGGAAACTGCTTTCCAAAGAGCGCAACCCTCCCATCGAGCGCGTTATTGAGACTGGTGTCGTGAGCCGTTTCGTGGAGTTCCTCCGTTCTCCTCATACTCTAGTTCAATTTGAGGCCGCCTGGGCCTTGACCAACATTGCATCTGGATCTGCTCAGCAGACCCAGGTGGTTATCGAAGCCGGTGCTGTGCCCATTTTCGTCGAGCTGTTGAGCAGCCCGGAACCTGATGTTCGGGAGCAGGCCGTTTGGGCTCTGGGTAACATCGCTGGTGATAGCCCTCAATGCCGTGACTTCGTCCTCAACGCTGGCGCCCTCCGTCCTCTCTTGAATTTGATCAACGATGGCCGGAAGTTGAGCATGCTGCGCAACGCTACATGGACTTTGAGTAACTTCTGCCGTGGCAAGACCCCCCAGCCCGACTGGAACACAGTATGTTGCTTTACAAACACTACGAAGAAGCGAACTCAGCTAATGCCCTTTTAGATCGCTCCTGCTCTTCCTGTCCTCGCCAAGCTTATCTACATGCTTGATGATGAAGTCCTCATTGATGCTTGCTGGGCTATTTCCTATCTTTCCGACGGCGCGAACGATAAGATCCAGGCTGTTATTGAGGCAGGCATCCCTCGTCGCCTTGTTGAGCTTCTTATGCACGCCTCAACCTCCGTTCAGACTCCTGCTCTTCGGTCGGTTGGAAACATTGTGACCGGTGACGACGTACAGACCCAGGTTATCATCAACTGCGGTGCTCTTCCCGCCCTCCTCTCTCTCCTCAGCTCTACCAAAGATGGTATCCGTAAGGAGGCTTGCTGGACTATTTCCAACGTCACTGCCGGCAACTCCAGTCAGATCCAGTCCGTCGTCGACGCTGGCATCATTCCCCCGCTGATCAACTTGCTCGCCAATGGCGACTTCAAGACCCGCAAAGAAGCTTGCTGGGCTATCTCCAATGCCACTTCTGGTGGTCTGCAGAAGCCTGAGCAGATTCGCTACCTCGTCTCTCAAGGATGTATCAAGCCGCTCTGCGACCTGCTTGCTTGCCCTGACAACAAGATCATCCAGGTTGCTTTGGATGGCCTTGAGAACCTCCTCAAGGTTGGTGAGATGGACAAGGAGGCTGCACAGACTGGCGAGGCCCGCGTCAACCGCTATGCTCTGTTCATTGAAGAGGCCGGCGGTATGGAGAAGATCCATGACTGCCAGAACAACGCCAACGAGGAGATCTACATGAAGGCCTACAACATCATCGAGAAGTACTTCTCTGATGAAGAAGAGGCCGGTGGTGATATCGATGAGCTTGCTCCTCAACAAACCCAAACAGGATTCACCCTCGGCACTGCCCAACAGCAGCCAGGTGGTTTCAACTTCGCCAACGGTGGCGACTCCATGGACATGTAAAAGTGGGATTTTATCTGAAATTAATCATGACACAATTGAGACTCGGGCTATCTGATTCGATTCTACTTCCTGCTAGATCCTTCGTGGCGCAGTGCGGCCGCCGTATAACGAACAAAAGCACCACCAACTTCGCAGGGCGATCTGGCCTTGTAGCGTTCAAGGCGAAATTTGGGTTGCGTTTCCTGCCTTCAAAATATCACTTTAAGTCCATTCCTGTATCCCTTTCGTCTCCCCCTTTCGATGTTCTCTTCCTCCCACCCCTCACCTGCTATGATTTACTTCCCGTTTGTTGGCCGTTCACGATAAACCAGATGCACCATCATGTACCCCTTCTACACTTCCCTATTTATCGTAGCATCCCATACACCGGCGTAATCGTTTGTTCATTCGGTTTTTCTTTTCTATTTCCTATGTGTTCTTTCACAGTTTTCCTAGGATGTGGTCTCCTTGGCCTAAGTGCTGTTCGTCGCTTCCTGAGGCAGTAAATTGGTCAAATTGTTATCCAGACGGTGGTTATCATAAACCGCAGATTCGGCGTTTTTTGAATACTGGAGATCCACGGGCTTATATATCGATAGACAAATATACTTCAAAAGTCGATTAGGTCCCGTGGCGACGGATAGTTCGATAGCCAGCCAAGAAAAGAAGCATCCCTTTCTCTTCTTACTTGCCATCTACAGCATCTAAACAGCGTAGCTACTATCTACTCCCATAACACACTACTGTGGCAGGGTGCGAACAGATCGTGGTGGACCCCCTAGGGCCGCTGTGGCAAGTCATATGATCGCCCTCGCCGCCCCTACCGCTTCCTAAAAATAGGTAGGGATATGAAGCCTTTCAACGTCATATTGTTTTGAATATCATCACCTTTTTAGGAGTTCTGATTTCATAATGAAGTCAGGCCTTGGGCAAATTGAGCCTATTTAGGCTAGTTCCTGAATGCCTGAATACCTGCCTACCAATCTGATCAAAATGTCTGCTTCTCAGTTGTCTGAATATTATACTCAGCTTGACAATCTGTCTTGTATGTCTTTTTCTGAGCCTGAGCGAGCAGTAGGATATGGTTATCCCGAGATAAGTGGTTTAAGATCCTTTTTAATACGAATTAGGCTTCGATTATAATAATATTGCTGAATATCTCGATACTACTGAGCGGTCTGTTAAATATACAATTCAGATAGGCTATTCTATCCCTAAGAAGTCTCAGGATAGGTCTGGAGAGATCGAGAAGTACAATATTGAGTATATTATTGAGTTTATATCTCAAAATCGTCGAAATTGTTATTTAATCTATTGGAAGATAATTAAAGAGCTTAATCTTAACTGCTCAGTTAAAGCTCTGTGTAGAATTTTATATACTTGAGGCTATAATTATCAAATTGCTCTGTACAAATCTTCTCTTAGTAAGAAATACTGCCGGTAGTGTCTAGAATAGGCTTTTTGATATTGATCTCTAGAATAGTAGAATAGTATTCTTTTTACTAACAAGATCTGGATAACCAGTTAAACAAGTTATTAAAAGATCTGGATTACTTGTATAGCTGGTAAAAGAGCTTAATAATATCTGTCTATAAGATAGATATTAAAGACTGCTTAGCTGGATATTCTGGGGCTTAATCCAGGTGTTACGCCTGGGGCTTCGTCGAATGCAACCGACCTTTGGACGGTCGAGCTCGATCGGACCAGCGAAGAGGATCTCAAAGCATCGATCCACTTCGAAGTAGTATAGCACTATATAGACTATGAGCGGCGGGTATAAGAAGGCGCTCCCAACCCCCGAACTTGGGAAGCCTTCGGAGACCTCGCTCGGCCTAATATGAACCCCACGTTTGCAAGAATCACAATATTTTATCGCTTATTTTTGACTATATTAATATACAAAAATATCAATATAGTATTGAGTCTATTCTACAGCAAAATAATCCTAGTAGTTATACTGCTATATCTACTATTGATGCTCTAGAAGTATAGAGAATCTATATAATATACTGGTCTGTCTTTTTATCTAAGCTTTCCCCCTATTAAAACCGTATAGAATTAGATAAAGGACTATATTCAGATAAAATATAGAACTATAGATTTTATCAGCTCAAGCACTCGCTTAAAATCTATAGTTTTAGAAGTCTGGGATAGTATCCCTGAATGGCGACTTCAGCTTCTGATAATAAAGATATCTTACCGTGTTGAGGCAGTTATTCAGGTAAACGGGGTTTCTACTGAATACTAGATAGACGCCTCTAGTTTTTCTATATAAATGACTTCTATATAGCTGAATAGCTTCAATTTCATTGAATTTCATTAAACCGGCAGAATACTAGGTGGCGAATTGACTAAGTGAACCGCCCTACAGGGATCAACAAGTTCTCGAACCCTGCCACAATAACGGCACTGCCAGACATACAATCGATACCCCACTTTCAAATAATCGTAGAGGCTAAGACACGGAGAAGAAAGGTCCTTAAGTATATACAAAAGCAAAGACATAAGTTACATA